CGATCGAGCGCGGCGTCTCGCAGCCCATCGAGGGCCATGCCGCTGCCTTCACTCAGCTCAAGCTGGATGGAGCTAGCAGCCCGAGCAAGCTCTTCTGCTTCGCTGTCCGTACCGGTACTGGCGCCAAGCTGCATGTTGTTGAGATTGGTCACCAGGCGCCCAACCCGCCCTTCCCGAAGAAGGCCGTCGACGTCTTCTTCCCTCCCGAGGCCACAAATGACTTCCCCGTCGCGATGCAGGTCTCTGAGAAGCACGGCATCATCTATCTCGTCACCAAGTTTGGATTTATCCACTTGTACGAGGTTGAGACTGGCCAGTGCATCTACATGAACCGCATCTCGGGCGACACCATCTTCACAACTGCCCCTTACGAGCAGATGAACGGCATCATCGGCGTCAACCGCAAGGGCCAGGTTCTTAGCGTCAGCGTCGACGAGGACACGCTCGTCCCCTACGTTCAGCGTAAGTTCCAGGCCGCCACGAGTCTTTGAACTGACGCCAGGCTCGCTGAACAACCCTGAGCTGGCGATCAAGCTCGCGACACGCGCTGGTCTCCCGGGTGCGGACAACATGATCATGGAGCAGTACCAGCGGTACCTCCAGAACGGACAGTACGGCGACGCCGCCAAGATTGCTGCCAACTCGCCCCGCGGTATCTTGCGTACCCCCCAGACCATCGAGACCTTCAAGAAGCTCTTCGCCCAGCCTGGCACTCTCTCGCCGATTCTCCAGTACTTCGGCATCCTCCTCGAGAAGGGCGAGCTCAATAAGCACGAGTCGCTTGAGCTCACGCGCCCCGTCATCCAGCAGGGCAAGAAACAGCTCCTCGAGAAGTGGCTCAAGGAGAACAAGCTTGAGTGCAGCGAGGAGCTTGGTGACATGGTTCGCCAGGTCGACATGCAGCTCGCGCTCTCGGTTTACCTCCGCGCCAACGTGCCCAACAAGGTTGTTGCTTGCTTCGCCGAGCTCGGCCAGTTCGACAAGATTGTTCTCTACTCGAAGAAGGTCGGCTACACGCCTGATTACGTCTCGCTGCTCCAGCACCTTGTCCGCATCAACCCGGACAAGGCCACCGAGTTTGCCACGCAGCTCGTCAACGACGAGGACGCCTCCAAGGTCGACCTCGACCGTGTTGTCGACATCTTCATGGGCCAGAACATGATCCAGCAGGCCACCTCGTTCCTCCTGGACGCCCTCAAGGACAACAAGCCCGAGCAGGGCCACCTCCAGACTCGTCTCCTCGAGATGAACCTTGTCAACGCCCCTCAGGTTGCCGACGCCATCCTCGGTAACGAAATGTTCACTCACTACGACCGCCCGCGCATCGCCAACCTCGCTGAGAAGGCTGGCCTCATGCAGCGCGCCCTCGAGCACTACGAGGACATTAACGACATCAAGCGTGTCGTTGTGCACACCAATCTCTTCAAGCCCGAGTGGCTCGTCGACTACTTTGGCCGCCTCACTGTCGAGCAGTCGTTCGAGAGCATGCGCGAGATGCTCAAGACTAACATCCGCCAGAACCTGCCCATTGTGGTTCAGATCGCCACCAAGTACTCGGACCTCCTCGGCCCCGTCAAGCTCATCGAGATGTTCGAGCAGTTTAAGAGCTCTGAGGGTCTCTACTACTACCTGGGCTCGATTGTCAACCTCTCGGAGGACCCCGAGGTTCACTTCAAGTACATCCAGGCCGCCACCCGCACTGGCCAGATCCGCGAGGTCGAGCGCATCTGCCGCGAGTCCAACTACTACAACCCTGAGAAGGTCAAGAACTACCTCAAGGAGGCCAAGCTTTCGGACCAGCTCCCTCTTATCATTGTGTGCGACCGCTTCGACTTTGTCCACGACCTTGTCCTTTACCTCTACCAGAACGGGCTCACAAACTTCATTGAGATCTACGTGCAGCGCGTCAATGCCGCTCGTACGCCCCAGGTCATTGGCGGTCTCCTTGACGTCGACTGCGATGAGTCGACGATCAAGAACCTGCTGATGTCGGTCACTGGCGAGTTCCCCGTCGACGAGCTTGTCGAGGAGGTCGAGAAGCGCAACCGCCTCAAGCTCATTCTCCCATGGTTGAACCAGAAGGTCGAGCAGGGCTCGACTGACCATGCCGTCTACAACGCTGTGGCTAAGATCGCCATCGACTCTAACAACAACCCCGAGAAGTTCCTCAAGGAGAACAACCTCTACGACCCTGCTATCATCGGCAAGTACTGCGAGAAGCGCGACCCGTACCTCGCCTACATTGCCTACGCCAAGGGTCTCTGTGACGATGAGCTCATCCACGTCACGAACGAGAACCAGATGTACAAGCACCAGGCTCGCTACCTTGTCAAGCGTCGTGATGTTGACCTCTGGACCCAGGTCCTCAATCCTGAGAGCATGCACCGCCGCGCTCTCGTCGACCAGGTCGTTGCCACTGCCATCCCGGAGTGCACCGACCCTGATGATGTTTCGGTCACCGTCAAGGCTTTCATGCACATGGAGCTCCACGGCCCCCTTCTCGAGCTTCTCGAGAAGATCATCCTCGAGGACTCGCCCTTCAGCGACAACAAGTCGCTCCAGAGCCTCATGTTCCTCACGGCCATCCGCAACGACCGCGGCAAGGTCATGGGCTACATCAACAAGCTCGAGGGCTACGACGTCGACACTATTGCCCGCGTCGCAACCGAGTCTGGTCTCTACGAGGAGGCGTTCACGATCTACTCGAAGCACAGCATGCACGCCGAGGCCATGAACGTCCTTGTCGAGCACATGGTCTCGATCGACCGCGGCTACGCCTACGCTAACAAGATCAACGAGCCCGCTGTGTGGAGCCGCCTCGCCAAGGCGCAGCTCGACGGTCTTCGTATCAAGGACTCCATCGACTCGTACATCAAGGCTGAGGACCCGTCCAACTTTGAGGAGGTTATTGAGATCTCCAACCGTGCTGGCAAGCACGAGGACCTCATCCGCTTCCTCCAGATGGCCCGCAAGACGGCCCGTGAGCCCAAGATCGACACTGAGCTCGCGTACGCGTACGCCAAGACGGACCGTCTTCACGACATGGAGGAGTTCCTCTCGATGACGAATGTGGCCGACGTCCTCCAGGTCGGAGAGAAGTGCTTTGACGATGGCCTCTACCAGGCGTCTAAGCTTCTCTTTTCGTCCATTTCCAACTGGGCTCGTCTTGCTACCACTCTCATCTACCTTGGCGAGAACCAGTCTGCCGTCGACGCTGCCCGCAAGGCCGGCAACACGCAGGTATGGAAGCAGGTCAACGCGGCGTGTGTGGACAAGAAGGAGTTCCGTCTCGCGCAAATCTGTGGTCTCAACCTCATCGTCCACGCTGAGGAGCTCAACTCGCTTCTTGACCTCTACCAACGCAACGGCTACTTTGACGAGGCCATCTCGCTCATGGAGGCTGGTCTTGGTCTCGAGCGCGCCCACATGGGCATGTTTACGGAGCTTGCTGTGCTGTACGCTAAGTACCGGCCTGAGAAGCTCATGGAGCACCTCAAGCTCTTCTGGCAGCGTCTCAACATCCCGAAGGTCATCCGCGCGACGGAGCAGGCGGCGCTCTGGCCCGAGCTCGTCTACCTCTACATCGTGTACGACGAGCCTGACAATGCTGCTCTCGCGATGATGGAGCGTCTTGGCGAGTGGGACCACGACCAGTTCAAGAAGGTCATCGTCAAGGTCGCCAACATGGAGATTGCGTACAAGGCGGTGTCGTTCTACCTTGCCCGCCAGCCAATGCTTCTTCCCGACTTGCTCTCCGCCATGACCGCCCGTCTTGACCACGCCCGTGTCATCAAGATTCTGCAGAACGAGGACAACCTCCCACTTGCCAAGCAGTACCTCATCGCGACGCAGAAGCTTAACCTCGCCGTCGTCAACGAGGCGTACAACGAGTTGCTGATTGAGGAGGAGGATCACGTCACTTTGAGGAGTTCGCTGCAGGAGTACGACCAGTACGATGCCCTCAAGCTGGCGAAGCGACTGGAGAAGCACGAGTTGCTCGAGTTCAGGCGCATCGCAGCATTGATTTACCGTCAGACCTCAAAGGTGAGCTTATATGCATATCGACAGAGAGCTAACATCAGTGGGAAGAGTCGCTGTCGATCTCGAAGGCAGACCGCTTGTGGCGGGATGCTCTCGAGACGGCCGCAGCGAGCAAGGACTCTGCGGTTGTTGAGGAGCTTTGCGCGTACTTCATTGGTATTGGCAACAAGGATGCGTTCGCAGCGGCAACCTACGTGTGCTACGAGTTTGTGCGGCCCGACTTCGTGGAGGAGATGACCTGGAGGTATGGCTTGGGCGACTACACCCGCCCGTACGCCCTCCAGCAGGTGAGTTGAACGATGCGTGTCGGAACTGACCCTAGTCCCGAGACACGTCGAACAAGATCGCCAACCTCGAGAGGGAGCTCAAGGAGCTCAAGGCGAAGGCGAAGAAGGACGAGCCCGCTGAGGAGGAGTCCACGAACATCATGGGCGGCCTCGGTGGTCGGCTGCTGATCGGAGGTCCAGGGTGAGTTTCGCAATACGCAACCGCCAATCAGTATGCTAATGCGCAGACCTCAAGGCGGCGGCGGATTTGGGGGGATGAACGGGGGCATGATGGGCCAGCCGACGGGTATGGGCATGATGCCCAACCCCACTGGCTTTTACTAGATTTTGACTGCCCGCGTTACCTTATCCTTCCCTTATCATGATCATATAGACCCATTATGAAATGAATAGCGACACCGCGCGCCTTGAGCGCCGCGAGCAACACCAAGCCAGCAGGCAGCAGACGGATAGGTACGGCCGTATCGCGCAACCTCTTCTCCGTCGAACAGGCAGTATCGCGGCCGGAGCTCGACAGAAGCGGACCATGCACTCTGTGCCTCATTGTTCGTTGGCCGTTGCCCGCCTGCCCGCTCGCCGCGTGGATCTGTGCACAGACAGGGTGGTGCGAAATTGACCGATATGCCGAGGACGGGCAGCGGGCAAAGCCCCACCTTTGTCCACAACCGACCTCGGTGGACATATGTTCGCGCGGTTTTCCTTCAGCCGCGCATTCTCGCTCTCTCACACTCTCACCAACTCACACTGTAACGCGCTGCAATGGCTTCCGTCCGTGGTCCTACGCCTCCGAGCGTTGTTGTCGTCGGCGGTGGTGGTGAGTCTATACTCGCGAGTCAGACTATACCCCTCAGTTCAGTGGGCCTCTACCTCGCTGGCCCCTGCCCCTTGGCCTACTTTCTAGCTCCCGTCCATCTGGGGGCCCCTTTTTCTCACACCTGCTGACACCAGTCATTGGCCTCACCGCCGCCCTTCTCCTCGCCCGTCGCGGGTATGCCGTCGAAGTCGTCGCGAGAAACCTGCCCGGCGATAGCCTCGACCAGGCCTGGGCGAGCCCGTGGGCTGGTGCGAACTGGTGTCCTTTTGGCGTGGACCCGCGCGTGTGCAAGTGGGAGGCTGAGACACTGTGAGTTTTCACGGGGTGGGAGAGTGCGAGAGTGTGGCGAAATGGGTGGGGACTTGAGGTGGCGGGTGCACAGCGCCATACGCCACCGGGCTACAGCACGGGCGTGCTGCGCTGAGGAGGCCGATAGTGGGGGCTCCGGAGAGCGAGGGAACTCAAACGCGTGCAAAGCCTCGCATATGGCCGCTGACATCAGCGAACAGCTGCGTACGCTGATCCCTTCGGGCCTGGCCATGCCGTTGCCGATCACGCGCTTCGCGTCCTCCGAGGCCGGCCTGCACAACCACTGGTACGCGGGCGTCGCGGACAACTACACACGTCTGGGCCCTGAGTCGTGTCCGCCCGGCTGCGTGGGTGTGACGTTCACTTCGGTGTCTGTGAACAGCCCGCACTACCTCGAGTGGCTGGGGGCGCAGTGCACCGCGCTGGGCGTGAAGTTGCGCCGCGCGACGCTCAAGGCGCTCCGCGACGCCGTCCGCCCCGACACGCGCGCGGTCATCAATGCTACGGGGCTTGGCGCTGGCGAGCTGGAGGACGTGAGGGACGAGTTTGTCGAGCCTATCCGCGGGCAGATCGTCGTCGTGCGTGCGCCGGTGAAGCGCTGCGTGATGGACGCCACGATGAACCACCCCACGCGCAGCACGTACATCATCCCCCGGCCCAACTCTGGCGGACAGGTCATCTGCGGCGGCTGCTATGAGGTGAATTTACCAGCCCACACTTGGGACGCAACGCCCGTTCCAGTGTGCCCATCGCTATGCCCTTCACGAAACGCATGCTAACCCCCAGGTCGGCTCAACTGTACGCGAACCCGACCCGGCCATGACCCGCTCCATTCTCGAGCACTGCCTTGCGCGCATCCCCGAGCTGAGCAAGGACGGCACGGTCGAGGGCATCGAGATCATCCGCGAGTGTGTCGGCTTCCGCCCATCACGCCGGGGAGGGCCGCGCCTCGAGCGCGAGGACAAGACCTTCGGCGGCTCGCGTCGCGTGCCCGTCGTTCACGCCTATGGAATCGGGCCCGCTGGCTACCAGGCGAGCTGGGGGATGGCGGGCGAGGCCGTCAAGCTCGTGGGTGATGCGCTCATTGAGGGAATCGTGGTCGAGGCTCCACGCGCGAAGCTGTAGGTTAGGCATGGGACCATACATATGCTATCTATATACTCCATCGTAAACCAAAACGGAGAGGACTGGGACGGCTGGACGGACTGGCGAGTACGGCGTTACGAGACGCTAACAAAACACGGATGACAACGTTGAGGCCTGGAACTTGATCGAATTGCACAGGGAGGCTGGGGCTATGATGGAGGACAGCGTGGGGAGTTGGAAGAGGCAAAGAGAGTCGCACTCCACAACCGTCTGTCGCCAACGTTGGCTTCCAGGAGGCTCAGCTCAGTTATCTTGGGATGCGCGAGAATGTCGGAGAGGATGCGCCACACTTTCACGACGCCATCCTGCACGCACTTGCGGTCATCGGGAAAGACGCGCGGGAGGACGATATCGTCGAAGCGGTCAGGATCGAAGTGCCAGAGTGCATTGCTGACGACCTCGCGCACGTCCTTGCCCGTGCTTTCAGCGAAGGATGTTATGAACATCACGACGTTCCTGCGGGTGACGTTGTTAAGCTCCATACCGTTGGACATGCCCCACTTGGAGGGAGCGGATGGGCGAGTGGGCCAAGGGATGTCAGGGACCCCGAGAGTAGGGACCACAGGCTTCGTGTAGAGGACGAGAGGATTGTCCGAGGAGTTGTAGCGATGGGCATTGTCGTAGTGAAAGTATTCGTCGTCTTCGTAAAGGTCACCGCCGTGAAAGTATTCGTCGTTGTTGTCGCCGCGATACAGGTCATCGCCGTAGTCCTCTTCGCTGTAGAGGTCCTGGCAGCGCTGAAACCATCTGCAGTAGTCATCCGTCGCCATCATCTTGAAAAGGCCGCGTGTTGGCGGGCGCGCTAAGCGATGAAGTGGCAAAGGTGCCCGCCTCGTGGCGGGCGGACCCGACAATTGTTTCCTCGGAGGGAGACATGTGTTCGCTGACTGGACCTCGTTAGGAACATTGCTGGGCGAAGACAAGAGATCCCCCAGGGCCGCGGTGTTCTTTGTCGAGAAGACATAGTATGATGAAAAGCGAGGAGGTGTCGCCGACACAGGGCCTGGGCAGTGGCGCTTGGACGGTCGTTCTTGACAAGAACTGCGGGAGAGGTCGGGTAACTTGCCGAGACGGGAGTCGGATAGCGGAGAGGATGCAGGCGAAATGAACGTGGCCACAGGAATAGGTAAGGCCGTCGTGTAGGTGAAGTAGTCCTCGCTGCTGTCTGGTGTAGGAGACGAGCTCAAGTCCATCGCCCTCGCTGGGCGCTTGACATTCCGGGGGCCAATGTCGCCCATGTTGCTCCGGCTGACTGCTCAACCTGGAGCTGGAGGACCTGGATCAGCTACTCCTCAGGGAAGGTAGTACCAGTTACGAGGCAGGGGCCGCGTACTCAATGGGCAGAGGCCAGAACTGCTGGAGGATGGGTTAAGGGCGTAGGACGAGGAGAAGGGAGAGGCAAAGGAGAACGAGGGCGTTGACAAAGGTGTAGGATGAACAAGAAAGCGGCGAGGACGGGGAATGAGGAGGAAGAATGAGCAAGTGAGTGAAGATGAAAGTAACGGCCACGCTGATTCCGCAGCTGTGCACTTTGAAGCTGCAGCGGTCAGAACGATGAGTGGCGAGGAAGGTGGCGAGTCTCACCCAACGAGTTCGCCCCATCATCGCAAGAGCTGCAACATCTTCAGACGTCTATTCAATCAATTTGACATGTACAGGCCGCGAGGGGTGACGGTGACAAAGGCGCAGGCCGCTGTGGACAACGCAAGGTAACACTGGAGCAGTATGCGCAAGCTGAGGCCTTATAAAGGCCTGGTATTATTGAGGTGGCTGGTTTGGATTGAGATACATCCGTTGACGAACGTGCCGCGCGGTCCGATCCATCAGGGCCTACGTGGCCGATAGAAGGTCGGTGAGAACGCGCGCGATGGCCTCAACGCCCTCGCGTACACGCTCGCGCTCACTTTCCTTCACGCGCGGCAGCACGCGCGAGTGGAAGCGGTCGGAGTGAAACAAACGGATTGCCTCGCGGAGCACCTTCCGGCGGTCTCCACCCTCGTCATCGGCCAGCGCGAAGAGGAAGCGCCTCACGTTATCCGTTGTAAGGTCCTCGGAATTGAGCACGATGCTATATCCTCGTCCCTTGGCGGCCGCTACGGGCCAAGGGATGTCCGCGAAGCCGAGCTCCACGCTGACGACTTCGTTGTCGAAAAGTGCCGTACATCGCTTCCGCCAGCGCGCGCGCTCGGCCCTCTGCTCCAGTCCCTCTTCGCGTCTCAATGCGGCTGCCTCGGCAGCGGCATCCTGCGCTTCTCTTGCGGCCTTCTCCGCGTGAGCCCGGCGGCGGCGCTTCGCTTCTCTTTCCTCTCTCTCCTCCTCGATTCGCTGCGCGCGGTACGCGGCCTCCTCCGCCTCGCGACGCGCCGTGCCACGCCGCCTGTCCTCTTCTACGTCTTGAGCTCGCTGCGCAGTGCGAAATTGTTCCCTCACGTAGGCGCGGTACGCTTCGGGTCCCATGCTTCCCATCGGCGGCGGCCCTTCAAAGACATCGCGAACGTGCGACGTCCGATCTCCGAAAACAGAGGAGAACAACCCAGATATGCCCCCCAGCCCGCTCGAACTTGAGAATCCGGGAAGAGCCGAGCCAAATGAGATGTCTCCGAACAGCCCGCCATCCTCGAAGGCCTCGTCCATGTCGTCGATGTACTCACGCCGCCGGCGAGCCGCGTCGTCACGCTTTCGTTTACGGTCGTAAGGCAAGCCGTTTGCGCGAGCAACTCGCTCGCGCTCCTTCTCAACACGTCGGCGCTCCTGGTCGTAAATTTTAGATGCGATCTCGGCGGCAGTGCTTTTGCTGGGCGTCAGTACGTGTGTCGATGTGAGTGGCAACTGAACAATGCAGCCAAGGTATGCCTCCAGCTGCGGATACGACCAGACGGCTGATGGAGACAGAGCTCACAGTTTAATCCTTGAGGCCCGGGGAATGTCGTAGTCACCCGACATCATGTCTGCGAGTGATGAAGTGATGAGAGGAGGTACATGGATTGCGCCTAACTCTTCGATGATGCTGGACGGTGGAGGTGCGAAAGTGGAGGTCCAAATTTGATTCCGTATATGTGGGGTCCCCACATGTCCTATATCACAGTCGAACCGTCGTCGTCCCCTTCATGATCACTTGCCAAGTTTCTGCCAAGTTTCTGGAGGCCGGGGTCGTAGGGGATGGGGTGGACTTCTCTTTTACATTTTTCTGCACATTCGTCGATGCAGTACACGATCCGGCATGGCACTAACCGACCGAGACACGACGGGTGACAGTGTGTGAAGGGGGCTGCGAGGCGCCACTGGTAAACTGATCTACTTGCTCTTACCGATAACTGCGATCTGATAGATAATAGATTGAGTGGCGCTCCAGGTGTTGAGTCACTCCTTTTTGGCACTGGTGGCGGAGGAGGGATCGACAGGGTGGCCTTTGAGTTGGAGTTTTTACCGTTCAGCAGACGGGGTCCCCTCGCGCCATACTCTATACCAGGAGGCGCTTCGGTTACAACACATCCAACAGGTCCAGATCATCAGGCTTCTGCCGTCGGCTTCCCCATATGGTATAATCTTCGATCAGCACACACACGTTCCATTCGGTGGTGTAGTGAAACCTTGCCCCGTTGCTGCGAAAACATGATATGGCTCCTGCTGTGGCCCGTGCACGTCACTGCGTTAATTATCACCATCGGAGTCCCAGTGAGAATTGCTGGAAGACACGGCCAAACTGAGATTTGGGACGTCCGCTTGGGGAGAAGGGGGGAGAACGACCTCGATCTTCCCCTCATTCTCATCGGACCAGTATGAGAGTATCGCGTGTTGAGCTGATAATCATGGAGAAATTACAGTACAGTTGAGTGCAGCTTGCTACCGCCTTGGTTCTTAAGGTTACTGACGAACCCCATTCAAATAAGGACAGTGGCGTTTACCGTCATCATGGACAGGAGAGCCCTGTACATCTGCCTACCTCTGTACTCTCCAGGCCAGGCCTTGCAAGGTGCTAGTCAATGGGCCCCATCAAATCCCAGTAGCTCTTCCGTGAGGGCAGAGACGGTCGGAGAACCGCAACGAGATAAGAGGCCGCAGAAACTATTGGGACGCGGGAAACACATGCTCGTCAGGTACATAATACTCCATGCCATCACCTCCGCTGCTTCAGGACAGTGACCCGCTCTGGCGCCCGGCACGAAGCACCAGCACCTACAGTTTGGAGAGGTCTTCCCATCATGTGAAAAATAAAACAGAGCTCAACGCTGAAGAGGACAGATTTAGGTGATATGACGGCGCATGAGGCGTACCCAGCCGAGCTTGTAACCACGAGACATACCTGCGCGTTTTCCTCTTCTCCTTGAGTCCCACTTATTATTCTATCTCCAATCGAGTGGTGAGGGCGGTTCCAGGCCTAGAACTCGATCGTCAGGACTGCTAGGACTGGGAGGTATGCGAACGGACACGTGCAGCGACTGTCTGTTCCGTCGACGTCTGGACTCAAGATATTGTTTGCGGGTTTCCCGAATTAATCTCCCCGCCTGCTCGCGGAAAGCGCGGATGTGGATACAAACGGGCGATATCTGCCGCGGAGACCCTCACTGGCCGTGGAGCGGCGTGACCGCCGTGCAATGAATATTGAGGTGAGTAGTGTTGTGGCTACTCCCAGAGCTCATGTTCAGCCGAGGTCTTCCAAGTGGAAGCAGTGTCTTGCGTAAAGTGTCTCTCGAAGATTAATCAGGCGTTACCTTCGCGCGGGATTAAAGCCTGGAAGAGTCCAACGGCATCACAGCCCACATGAGGTATGCTGGAAAAGGTAAGACCGAGGCCGAAGCTAAGCTATGCACTGGTCTGCCGGCATCCACCCGTCGTATGCCGAAACTTGCGGCTGTCCACATGCCTCATGCGACGATGACCAAACAATTCACTTGATTGGGCTCTGAGACACGCAGGGACGATCTTCCGTGCTGATTTAGGCAACCCCGGCGATCACTCCTCTCACGCCAGCTCCCATGCGTTCCTCCGAACGGCCCCAACATCCATTCCTCCGAGTCGGGTAAAATGCTCCCTTACAGCTGCGACATGCGACACCAGCCGCGGAAGCGCAGCATAGCACGACGAGAGAGTCCCGGCTGAGGATGAGCGGTAAAAGTGTGGCAGCGAAATCGCAACCAGCAGCATGACGTGCGTGGCTTTTGCCATGCCACAGCCTTGGCCGTCGCCGAGCAAACGGGGAAGTAAAGCCATGTGTCCATCTTCTGAACTACGCTTACGCTCGGTCGCCGGGCCCGACACGGGGAGGTGGCTGCGGCGTGACGGTCCGTCACGCCCGGAGCCCGAAACCGGTTCACCAGGTCGAGGGCCTTGTTCAGTGACTTTGTTGGGCCCTACGGGCGGGCGCCGTGATTCAGGAGGTTGCCTTCGGCCACTGACAAGAGCGCATACGTCCGAGGCGTTTTTCCGGAGGGGACCCGGAGCAGGCCATTTCTGCCTAGTGCCCTCCGAGGCGGCGCTCTCGAGCTGCGTGGCAACTCATATAATATTGGAATGTGTTCATTTGGGCGGTCATTGGGCGGTCCTATGCTGCCGAGCCGCGCGCGTAAGCAATCGGATTTTGGCAGAGAGAACGGCAGGCACCCTCCCAAGGTGTCGGACGAGCGTCGTCCGTCTCGACTGCAGTTCCAGTAAACGCGTTGGGTTGGCTCTTCTGACGCTTCGAAATTGTGCGACCATGTCAATAGGTGCGCCGAAGGAGCCTGTTCCTGCTATGGACTCGTGCCTGGGCCTGTGTCACAGTCACTAACTCTGTCATACACGAACAAGCCCAAGACACAGCCTTTTCGGCGCGGCCACAACACGTTAGCCTTCTACGGAAGCACACAGCTGACGTATTGGGAGCTTTAAGGCAGAGTCCCTTCGCCATGCCATCATGCCGTTGTGCTAGTTTGGTCATGCCTGTTTGTGCCCGAGAATGCAGACTGGAATAGATTAGCAAACTACCCACTCATCGGCCTGTTGCTCGGCTTGGAATATGACGGCATGGGGGGCCAAGAAGTTGAACCAGTAGAGCTTATCAAGAGGTTGTGACGTTCTGATTTTTCCCTGGGGCAAGTAACCTGCCAGGGCGTACCCAGCACTTCAATGCCACGTCACCCCACCTACCAATGCACTCGCCCCTCCATGTTCCGAAAATCATCACTCCTCGCACGGCATCGGTCACTCGCCGGTAAATTTTTTCGTTTGCTGTGAAGGGGAGAAAGTGTGACGTTGCCGAGGTCGAGAAAGGATGTAACAAGGAGGAAATATCAGCAGGGAGAGTGGAGGCCCTCCAGGCACCACCGTACGCCGGGCAGGCTGATGAGGGAAGCGGGAAGAATTAAGCTTGACCAGCACGGATAACGTACATATCACCAGAGACAGTTTGGGTTCCCAGTCAGGGTTGTGGGACCTGTCTCGGGGAGCAGGGTGCTCAATCTTCGCAGCTGGACAACTTGGTCTTGAGTATCCATGTCACATGTCACATGGGGAGTCATATGGGCCAGATTCCTTGCGTGACGAGTACATGCCGACAAGGTCTGTTCCTGCATGGGTATGGGGTATCTTTTTTTTGGTCACGCTGTTTCGTACAGCCTTGTGAGCACATGAAGGGCGCCCAGCGGTCGCTCGGAGCAGTCGCTCGGAGCACCTTGTCAGTACGGTAAACGTGAGCAGATGGTGATATGTGCCAAGAACATGGCCCCCTCCGGCTGTGGCGTATAACTGCTAAACAACGTTGATGGGAGTGACGAGATAGTCATGGATAGACGGGGATGTACGGCATCAGTGACTACCTCTTGCTAGTCGCATGTGAACAGCTTCGGACAGGTTCGAAATGGATATTAGCTCGGGCACCGGTTACGAAGATGTCACCGCAAACGTCTCGAGCATACTTTCTCCCACGATACTGTAGATGACCTCGATGACACTGTGCCTGTCTCGTACAGGTTCATTGAGCTGGTAACGCTCCGGAGCGCTGCAAGAGGATGAGATACAATCGTTGTGGCATCAACTGAGACCGAGACATCAGCGACGAGCTTTACCGGTGTTTTCCCGATGTATTGCTAGCAAGTCAACGCGTAGCTCGCGGGGTTGCCGGATAGCGCTACTACCTCGGCCCCCCTGTGTGCGTGCGAGGAATGCACCGAAGATGGCGGTGTTTGCGAAACCTGTCAGAGCATAGAGTTTAGGCCGTGTGAGACAGACGGCCGAACACGCTTGCGCGTTAAGTCGCGTCTCGTTGAATTGAGTGGCTGCTCAGCGCGTCGGATTTCCTGAATTGTGTATGGGGATCCCGACATACGGGGTGGCGAGGGCCGGGCTATGGTTTAGAAGGCGGATTCCACGGCCACGGACAAGGTTTGGTGGAAGTGTAGCGGCAGTGTGCGGCAGCTGTTCCATTGAGGTACCGGGTTTGGTGATCGATCAACATCCGTCCAGTGCGGCAGACTCCGGCGCCAATGGTGTGCTCAACAGGAACTGTGATTAGTGCACCGTTGTAGAGAAGTAGTGGTAGCTTTACTGGCTTGTGCACTCAAAGGGCATGTCTCACGGCCTCACGGCATCGTTCCGATAGATGCTCTGCCTTGGCGGGGGCCGATCGAAGCTATCATCGATTACACTACTTCGTTTACCATGGACGCTGCCTCCGCGTTCTGATCAGCGGAGGTTACCCGACGAGATGCATTCTTTGCTCGGTAACTATGTAGTTGCTCTTGGCGCTGTCAAGCGCTACTCGGCGCCCTTTTTGACCGCGGTTAGGGCCTCGCGCAGCTTGTTGCGAAGCTGTGTGACATGTGGCTCCTCGTCACCCGATGGAGGCGGCTGCAGGGTTAACGTGCAGATCATGGGTTGACCGGCGTTGATGGGCAGGATCGGCAGGATCGGCGTGGGGCGCAAGTGACCGTGCGTGCCAGGAGCAGACTACTAGCCGGCTGGCATACTTCGGACAGGCATGTGGAGGTCGGAGGGTGCTCCCCTCCAGCTCCTACCGGTTTTTGGCGCGCAGTCTCTCAGAGGAGGTAAGGAGCGTGCCTGTGCAACCAACGCTACTGGGTATGCCTGTGGCAACAGAGGAACGTGCTTTAACCGGGGACTCATCAAGTCATCATCAGCGCGGCGTAGACATTCGTCGATGATGCAAACTGCCAGGGCCCGAAGCTCGCGGGATTGCTGGACGGGTTGTAGTGGCGTTCTCGAAAATGCGGGGTCCGACACTGGTAGCTCGGGAGAACCACCTGCGCACTCCCATTCGTGCCTACACCAGCTTGCGACTCAGCGGGGCTCTCCCGAGTTGAGCCCGCAGCACATAGCACATGGTACATGAGCCACTCCGGCTCCCCAGCCCTGCAGGCGCGCGCGCACGTATGGCCGCGCCCGCACCAGCACCGCTGTCGGCCACTTCGGCGCCCCCGACTAGCCCCTCCCGTGGCTTTTCCGAACGCACGTCCAGTCGCCCGCGTCGACGTCATGATCGCCGCGCCCGGCTTGGCCTGCTGGGACACCCTGCGCTGCCTCACCCGTCTCGAGCACACGCCGGTCGTCTGAGTACCCACCAGTTGATCGAGGAGATACCTGTCATGTCAGCCTACAGGACCAGACACTTAACGGCCTGGACAGGGAAGTGGTCGGAGGCGGCGTCGTCGCAATCTCTGGATAAAGGCGAGCCCCACAGTCACAAGCTCAAAGTGATCATGGGGACATTTCCCGGCATGCGGTGTCTGTGCGGGACGTACTCGATGTCATCGATAGTCTGTCGGAAGGCGTATCGTGAGGGAGGGAGACGGATGCAACGAACCCACACATAGGAGAAGGGCCGCGTTGTCGTGTCAGTTCATGGCGCGCTTTGCATGTAGAGCGCAGCACCCACAAGGACCACAGGGATACGGTTCATCGTAAAGTGGTTTGACCTAGGCTTTGAGGATTGTGGATCGTCGTGGCGAGGAGGGATTGATGGGCGGGTCGAATCGGCAGAGCAAAATGAATGTTGTGGATGACGATCACACTGTGGTGTCGGCGGGTGTCCCGAAACCCGCTGACCTGCAGCGGTAAGGCGGCATTTACCGCAGCCTACCGTGGCTGCCGTCCTCAGATGGTCTACCGTGTTTCCCGCGCGGTCACAAGCATCCGAGGCTCATCACCGGATGCATCGTGCTAGACTGCGATCGGGGCAAAGAGCGTTGAATGAGCACATGAATGGGCTGCGCCGGTCAGCGTATGTCTTTTCCGCTGCGCATGTGGCTCGGGCATCGCGGTGCCACTCAGGTTGCCGCTGCGGCCATGTTTCACACGGCCATGATCTCCCGCCGCCGTCCGATACATGCGCGAGGTCCCGCTAATTGCCCGCCCTCATTCTCGACGCCTGGTGCAGCCTTTGCACAATCACCACACCACTAAGTGCCGCAATACCGTTAAACAGCGTGGTCCCAAGGGATGCATGAACGTGAATATGCGTGTCTATCGTGATGACGAAGAGTCCGGTTCTATAATGCAGTGTCTACAACAACAGGTCCCCAAGATGTGATCCTTTCAAGATCCTCGTGATGCCCTCAAGCCCGACCCGATGACGCACGCTGAGTGGCGCTGAGCAGTACGGAGTGTATTTATGTACCGTCATGCGACACGCCGGGGCGCAATGATAGCTTGGGCTTGCCGGAGGCCAAGCTTGCGCCACGAGGGCGACACATCCCCCGACCCAGTCAGGTACGTGTCGTCGGGGAAAGGATGGGCCGCACTGCGGCGAGCGAGGTTGGATGCGGTAACCGTAGGGTCCTGGTAAAGCTCGGGTGTCTCGCTGGCAAGTGACGAGCACGACGAGCAAGTGCTGGTTTCCGAATCGCGGCGCGGAACCAGCCCCGGAGCCTCCTCATCGAGATGGAGGCGAGCAAAGTGCGTGAGGGGAGATGGGTGGCGTGAAAGAGGACGAGGGGCAGCCTCGAGAGCGCGGCGAGCTCGTGCGTAGGCGAGGGCCGCCATCGAAGCCTGCGAGTGGGGCAAGTGCTGGTGGTGGTAGTAGCCGTGCGACTCCACGAAGTAGTCGCCAGGAGAGTCACCCTGCTTAGGAGGTGTTGGCATGTACGAGGTCGAGGCGACAGTGGGAGGAGGGTGAGGATATGGGTGGGCACGGTGACGGCGGAGAGCGTCCGACGAGTGCGACCGTGGTGCGGATGCTGGTGCTGGGAGGAGCGGGAGGCGGGGTGATGACGGGATGTGGCCAGAGAAATTCTGCTTGGTTGGGGGAGTGAGGGGAGGCGAGATGGGGTTGCGGCTGGAGGCGCCAGATGACGACGAGGCGGCGGGGTAGACGTTGGCCTGATGAATCTGAGCGGCCGAGCGAGCGGCGTTGAGACGGTTCTGGACCGCCCAGAAGGGGGTGAGATGGGCGATAAGCGACGGCTCGTCGACCTCGAGGTTGTAATCGAGAATATAGAGCAGCTGCTTCTCCATGAGGTTGACCTCGGCCAAAGCGAAGAAACGCGCATAGCGTTGCCAGTGCATGTTCTTAGGGCTCGAGTCGTTAAGATACTTGGCAGCGCAGATGAGTACAGCCAGGAAAACGCGGTGGCGGGTGCACTTCATACCATGAGCGACTGGCGGGAGGCGCTCCTTGAGGCGGGCCAGGTAGACAAGGACAACGGCGAGGGTCGGCATCTGGACGTTTGACTGGGCAACGAGACCTCGAATAAAGTCGGCCAGCGAAGGGAGAGACTCGCTGGTGTCCTTAGGAGGAAGGGGAGCCTCCCACCATCGTGGGGCGGTTGCACCAGAGGTCGACTGAGCCGATGGGATGGGATTCGAGCGGGAGTGTCCGGCGACTGAGGTCGGGGAGCGAGGCGAGGCTGGTGGTGATGGAAGCTCATCTTCGATGCGGATGACCTGCTCGCAGCGCTGAGCAATGTAGTCTGTGCGCGTTAGACTGATGATCGACGGCGTGTGTGCTCGGGCGTGTGTGTGTGTGTGTGTGTGACACCCCGGCCCGTGCACTACTCACCATAGAACTCTTGTGGCGCCGGGGTCTTGAGGGTGTGGACGACGTGAGCGTTGTGCTCGGAGAGCGGGAGAAGAGACGCGGGGTGGGTAGGGTTGCGAGACATGGCGGGCAAGATGATTTAGATGGGTGTTGATAATGTCCAGATGATTGTCCGTGAGCGTTCGTATCCTTCGCCCAGCCAGTAGGTCGAAGCGGGCTTTCTACGTCGAGAGGGGGAGAGAGGATGTGGTTGCAGGCGAGGTGATGTAGGCGGGTATGTGAAGCAGAACAGCAAGAAAATGGCGAGCGTAGGAGTCAGTTGATGTAGTTGTTCGAGACAAAGATGAGAAGGGGGTATGAGGTCGGATGGGTTTGCTTGGTGTGGGAGGAGGAGGGGGGGGGGTTTGATCGACCAGAGTGTGAGAGATGTCTTTAAAGGCAGCATGGGCGTGTCTGGGTGTCGATCGAGACCGGAGCGTACACCGGCTGCGGATCCAGTGAAGTCTGCACTGGGCAGGAGAATGGCGTGCGGCGTCCGGTATGAGGAGACATGAGCAGAGGTAGACGGAGGACGAGCAGCTGAACAGCTGAGGCAGAAGACGGCCACTAGGGTCTGAAGGCAATGGAGTGGGAGGGAGTGCTGGCTGCGCACTCCCGTCCTCGAGTTGCCTGTTCCCTGTTGGTGCCAGAGGTTGGATTCCCCCTGCTGGCCCTACTGGCACCTTTCCCTGATCAAGACGGACCTGGCGACTCTGCCGACCTGAGCCAGGACCCAGCAGTGCCGCGAACCCGGAGCTAGCATTTACCGTGTAAACTTTGTCTTGGAGCCCTGCACGGCCAGCACTCTGTGCGCTGATTGCGCTCGCGAGCTCTGCTCACCCCAAACCCTGCTAGACAATGTAGTCCCTTAGTGACGCCCCGACGCCACCGTTACGGGAACAGCTATGCCCGGCTCATAGCCACCACCACGGGACGAGACGCCACCTGACAGTCCCACTCACCCGATGACGCCGACCTCACAACGTACAACCCAGCTCACAGCGGCACAGCCACCTCTCCCTCGTCCCCGTCCGCGCGCCGAGGGGGCGTACTATGTATCTGCCAGGTCCACCGGACCCCGGAGACCCATCTCTCTTCTGCTTTGGCACCGCACAATCTCAACAAGATCTCCATCCCAGCCCGCCGCGGCGCTTTCCCCATCTCCCCAGCTTCAGATCCATTCATCGTCCGCGTGGTACAGCGCAAGACACGGGACGGATGATGAGCTCTTGTTAGACGGATGGTCGGTCAACAAAGACCTGGGCCCTATGGCCGCTTCCGCTCGACCCGCGGACTCGTACCTACGATGAGAGCAGCATCTGATCTAATGAGGCCGGCAGGAATGTGGGCCAGAGAGCAAAGAGCATGTGCATGCACCGTTGTATGCGGGGGAGTCGTATGCGAGAGATTGGTTCCCTACGGACTTGCATAATCCTCATGTAAGTACCGCCGTCTCGGAGCACGCCCGATACGCTCGGCCAGTTGGAGACCGTCACAACCACCCCAGAGAGTCTCTTGGGCAGGGGTCCTGCCGTTACGGCTTGACTCCAGCGTGCCGGAAGCTCAAGCTCTGGTGCCTGGTTACAGTTGGAGTTTTCCTGTTCTTCCAAAAGAATACCCGATGCCATCGTCAGCAGTGTGCACGTTGGGGGTGTGAGAGTCCTGCTGCCCCCGCACGTTGGACCTCGGGAGGCTTCTGGAAAGCTGCGAATACATTTTGAATGCGGAGCGGGGAGGCTGGCTATCTTTTGCGGCGTGTTGAAGAACGACAGATGCTTGCTTTGGCTCATGGTGCGAATCAATTCAATCCGGCTTGCCACTTGGGGTCGAGCAATTCAGAGGAGGCGCCCCGCTAGTAATGGCTGGAATTCGGCGCGTCCGCCTCTCAGCCTCACGGGGACGAAACAACACAACATCCCACCGTGAGTGTCAGTCTCTGATCCCAAAGCCGTCTACGGGATCATTGTGGCACTTTCGGTCCTATTGCTAGTTCTGCCTACACTTGGTGCAGCACACGGGCGTGTGTCGGGTCCGCCTCAGGCCCGCTGCCCATTAATCATCGAGCTCGGCATTGAGCATGCACGAATTTGGCTCAAAATACACCTCCGCCCCGGTTGTCCGAGCCTTTGGTGAGTCTAGTGAGTGGTGCCTTGATTGAACCAGCCGCGGCTTGAGTCACGGCTGTTCGGCGCGTCGGATTTGGCAGTTCCGCCGCCAAGAGTTTTGCATCCGATTCCGCGCAGGCTGCCAGTCATCAGTGCACTTTATCCACAGTGGTTGGCCGCTTTACCTCCCAACCCCTGATGGTTATCGTCAAGCGCAAGCACAAGCTCCATCCTGGGACCTGGATGTTCATGTCGGCGTCTTGGCGCTACCTCGCCTCCATATTTCGAGTTACCTTGTTGTCACTCTGAAGGAGGTGTCCACCATGCATGCTTTGTCAATGCAGACGCCTCTTCAACTTGCAGAGCTCGCCCTTTGGGACTCTGCCTAAGTCCTACTCTCGCACGTACCGACGCGCCTCAAGCACCCTTCGCACACCCTTGGAATGTGCCGCGCTTGGAATTGTCACAGCGTCGTTCCCTCCAGACCCTCCTGAGAGACCGGCATGTTCGTTCATGATTTTCCTAATGCATCCCTCAAGCGCAGACAATTCTGAGTCGGAGGGGGGGCCGCCGGGGGAGGGGG